AAATATCTGTTGGTTGAATGAATAAATGAATGTATGAATGCATCTCATACAGTCCAATTGATCTAGGGGGATAATAAATATCTGTTGGTTGAACGAATAAATGAATGTACGAATGAATCTCATACAATCCAATTGATCTAGGGGAGAAAGAGGCAAAAAAAATACCCTAACGAAAATAAAGACAATGATAGGAAGAAAGGTAAGCAATAATTCCATAAATCGGGGGTATTAGACTTGATGCCAAAAAAATTGCCATCATTCAACAACTGATGATAGTTGTTTGGAGACTAAAAATACCTGAAAGATTTCATTTGAAAGTTAATATGAAAACAGTGTTCTCTGGAAGACTCATTTACAAATAAATTAGTGAAAACCCTGTTACTATGCCAAGATGTGATAGGAGACTACTGTTTTGTTTGTTTCAAGGTGGAGAAGACTTTGCTGCATACACCTGCTGAATGTCTAGAGTCCCATAGAGGGAGCGTAGTACATGGAAGACCTTTTCTTGAATGGTGTCAACTTGCTCAGAAGGACAGTAATCATCCAGACTTGATCTGGAACCCGTAAGAGAAAGAGAAAGAAAAATACACATAAATAGGATAAAATCATACTGTGAGGAAAAGCCTGCATGTGTAGATTTCAATGTAAGATATTAATAGAAATGAAGGTACACTGAATTTTAGAATAATAACTGTTGAAAGCTACTAAATGTTTACTCCATATTAGGTACTTTACATGAATTATTTTCTTTAATTTTCTCAGCAACTCTATAAAATAGGTACAATTACTATCCTTTTAGATTACTGGTACCCTGAAAGGGAGATGTTGCTTGGGGATACAGGGATTTACTACCTTAGTGACTGGGCATCTTTCTTATTCTTTTATTATGTGTATGCTAGGGCTAGAAATGACTAGGTTTTCCAACTGATAAAAGGGTTCTACTTCTACAAATAATCTGTAACTACGAAAGTATAAAGGCTCCATGGCTTGGTCTAAAACGAAACGTGGGGATGTGCTGGTGTTGGGATTAGTTTCCCATGCAGTAGGAAGGAGAAAAGAGCAAAGTGAGCTGTGGCAGAAATCTGTATTTTGGGAGTCTTTCCAGAACTCATCAAGGACAATCTGAGTAGCACTGGGCAGTTACAATGCTACTGTCAATTACAGCTGGATTAAGATGTGAACTGATTTGATCAGTGTCTCCTGGTCTAGACAGGGGTAAGCAAAGCCATTTAGAGGGTGGATTGAGAAAAGTGGCATAGCAATCTTTATAGAAGGAACTGGAGTTAGTTACCTAATCTACTTCTTGCACAAGTATTTTAAAATTACAGAAATAATCAGTAAACTCTCTGATAAACTCATTCCATTCTCCAGTGACCAGGTTATTTTTGAGGCTTGATGTAAAAATTTTAAGACACAATAAATGATACAGAGCAACTTTAAATTATTAAATACTAACATATACATATGGATAAAAACCTAAAGTGTTATATGTAAAAGCCTAATTTATAAGCCTTAACAAATAAGGGTT